TGTCATCTTCAACTTGTTGCTTCCTACAACACTTAATAATGGTAATTATAGTAATAATGTATTTAAACACAAATATTGTTGATAAAAATTGTAAAACATTACTTAGCTCGAACTAACGCCAATTGCCATTTGACAAAAACAAAGTGAAGGGTACACATGCACCTGGTGACCAGTGTCCCAAAAGAAGAGTGGGGTTTCAGGGTATCAGCTGTCACCGTACCTGGTTTCCTGCGCTACAGTGCCTCCCTTACTTGGGCCTGGCTCTCTCAGTCCGGAGTCCATCTATTTTGCCCTGCTGCTGGGTGAAGCAGGGTATCATCCAGCTGTGTAGAGCTGAAGGGGGTGTGGGAGGGAGGGTCTGGGCTCTACTTCTCAAACTGGCTTTCACAAAAATCCCATTTTTAGTCACGCCTTTACTCCAACTTCATCAATTCCTGCACCTTCCAGAGGTTCTAGAGTTTAAAACTAGTTCTTTCTTGACTTTCCTCACTACCGGCTTAGAGTTAACCTTCCCAGATTGCCTGAAATAGTTACTAAGAGTCCATCTGTTTTCAGGTTCCAAAATATGGCAGCTCTTGTCTCTTTTCTTGTTGTTGTTGTTGTTATTGTTGTTGTTGTTGTTTAATCCTTGGTTTGTGCTTTGACTATCCTATCATTTTTCATGGGATTTCAGAAGGGAATGAACTGAAGGGCATGTGTCTCAGCAGTCATCTTTAAATGGGTAGCATCAGTTACAAAGACTTTTTATAACAACTTCAGACCCACTGCTTTTCCACAGTCTTACCTGAAAGGACTGGGACTGTTATTCAGACACCTGTAGTCTTTCTTCCCCTACTTGAAAGGATACATAAATAATAACTACTTATTTCTTTTACTATTACTTCAGACACCGAATATTGATAAAAGCTGAACAATGTGGACTAAAATATATTCATGAATTTCAAATCAACTTCTTCACTTATTTATCTCAGGACAAAGAAAAAGCCAAAGCATGTCATAAAAAGTGGCTTCTGAGTGTCACTGACTTTCAACTATCAGCTGAAGAAGTTTGGTTTTAAAAAAGTTTTTCTGTTACAAGAAGAGAAATTGGGCAGTGAGGAAAAAGAATCTTCTGGGGGAACAAGTACTGGGTATTATTTTGCATGTTTATTATTTTTATAATTTACTCTTCCACACAAGGCAGAAACTGAAAAGTTTGGCATTAGCTGCTCATTATAGGTTGGGAATCAATTCAGTTCCTTAGGACACAAAACCACATTGATGGGTATTTTTATTTTACTCTGCAGAAACTGAAGCCAGCAGAGTTTTAGCTTTAAAATTACTTCCTAAAGAAATACCAATGTTTTAACTTTGCACTGGGAAAAAGAAAAGCAAGCATATTGCAAAGTTCTTTAGCACTGTCTACAGTCGACCAGGCAGACACCTGAGAGGCAAACAAAACTCCTCTTTCTCACCAAGTCCTCAAGACTCCATGTTCCAAATGTCCCTCAAGTCCTTGCTCTTAGGCTCTCTCCCGGCTTCCCAACATGTGTGGCTATGTTACTGTCATGGCGTCAAATCTTTCACCACCTTCACCTCCTCTCTAATGCGAACAGCATGCTGTCGTGTCCCCGACCACCATGGCCATCCGCTACTGGATTGCTCAAGGTTTCCACACAGCCTTCAGGAAACCGTGAAAACGCCTCAGCAGAGCACAGAAAGGCCAACGCCATCTGTTCTCACCCTCGCCTTCGATGATTCTCACCGGGCTCCAGTGCGACCCATATCTGTGCATTTCAGTGACCCATACCTGCTCTAGGATTCCTCCGAGCACACACTGTGGATGGTTCACCAGCCGCCACTGACCCCTGAAGACCAACAGCCACCAAATGCTCTAGAACCCAGGCATCTTGCAGAATAGGAGGCTCCACAAGTGTGGACTGAAGTGAGCAATTCTTTATAAAGAAAAGAACTTAGTAGGGACACACCACTGATAAGCACTCACACCCAGGATCAGAATGATCTCGTCCCTGCCTGCTTTCCTATAATGTCTTCTTAGTGTTATTCATCAGCCTGAGTCACTATAAAGGGGACCAGATGTTGCACTGTTCAATCCACAAAGCTGAATATTGAGCATGTTCTGACCTCACCCTACCCTAAATATCCCATCAACTCTGGCTACAGTTTTTCATTAGGGAAAAGTACAATGAAGGCAGTCTTCATTATGCCACACAGAGCAATGTCATGCTTCGTCAGTAATCACTGAGTTAAACACCAGTCATTTGCTTTATTCAACATTTAGCATTTTCTTACAACTGGAAACTCTTTCTGGGGGCAGCACATTAAGTAGTTATCACTTTAGAGTCACTTGGAGACCAAATGCTAGAAGCTCAGCAAAGGGGCATTACATAATGAAATGAGCTCTGCAAATCTGAGCACTCTGAATTTTTATAAAACGCTATATCTAAAATGAGTGTTTCAAACTAAATTGAATAAACTTTTGTAATATGTTTCTATGATACAGACATTGAATTATCATGGAGAAGCTGAACATTCCTAGTTGAAATACATTATAACAGAGATCAAGTATCCCATAGGTAGCTATCCAGATTACAACACTGCCTTTTAAGGCACCTGGGTGGCTCAGTCAGTCAAGCATCTGACTCTTGATTTCAGCTCAGGTCATGATCTCAGGATTGTGAGATTAAGCCCTGTGTTGGGCTCCCTTCCTCTCCCTCTGCTCCTCCAACCACCCGCTCTCTCTCTCTCTCTGAAATAAATAACATTTTGAAAAAGAAAAAGCACTGCCTTTTAAGTAAAAACAAAGTAAAAATATAAAAAATGTTTCTTTCTTTATCTTTTAATGGAGGTTAAGAATTTTGAGTTTTGTTTTAAAAATAAGAAATAAACAAAAATGTCCAGAATAGTGTCTTACTATAAGCCAGTATAGAAATGAAAACTTTTTAATAAAATCATAAAAGACTTAAATTTTGTAAAAGATCGAAATTAAAATCATAAAATTTTAATCTATAAATAAAATGAGTTATTCCAGGGTTAACCAGATACAGATTTTTTTCAATCCCCATTTAATAAATAAATAATTGAAGGGGTGAGTTTTAGCAACCTGCTCAAGGTTAACCAACTACCAAAAGGAGAATCATCTGTTCGAGCCCAGGCCCCTTGTGAACCACGCTGATACACAAGTCGTGCTGTCAGGGCTCAAAGACCATAAGGACCCAAAGCACATGCTTTGTGCATAAAAACACGCCACTGTGGTTTTCAGAAAACATATCCTCATTAAAATCATGGCTTACATTTTATAGTTATCAAAACAGTAATAATTCTTGATAGCTGTGTATCTAATACAGAGCTTTGTTTTTGTAGATCAACCCAAGTACAAGTTAAAATGAAAGAGACTCATTCTGAAATCTGAATACCTTTCAAAGAGGGACCCATCATTGAAGGCTCTTGTTCTGAGCTCTTCACCGAAGGAGAAAAGAGGTTTTCATTTATCTTACCGAAACTGGCAAGAGTGGTACCAAAAGGACCAGTAGGCTGAACACAAGCAACAACCCAGCTTCGAAACAAGGATTTCCGTGTGGTGGTGCATGCCACCACCCACACACCATGGGCCCAGTGTTCCCGAAGGCCCTGTGGGTCCTCTGAACATGTATTTTTAAGTATCCATTCCAGTCTCAAGATGGACAGGATCTCTTCCTGAGGCAGATTCTGGCTTCTGAAGTTGTGCCACTATCAAGGAAATTTGAAGATCTCATTGATCTGACCACAAACTCCAGCTCTCGGAAGTAGCCCCAACTCACATGCTAACCTGTTCAGCATGAATGTTCCATCTTGAGTTCAAAAGGAAGATCTACCTGCACACGGTGATGGAGCCAGCAGGCATGAACATGTTATCATTCCTGGCTGCCTGGCTCTGCCCTCATGTGACAAGTAAGCAAGGTCCAGATTTGCAAGATACATCCAGATACTCCCCCCTAGGACAGATCCAATTCTTGTGGGCCCTAGAGCTTGTACAGTATGCAGGCCCACCAAGAAAGAAATTAGGCACAAAAGCAAACATTTAAGAGGTACCTTTGCAAGTGAGAAGCCTTGAAGCTCAGGCTTCACTAATTATATGGTAAAGCCGCCTTTGACCCAACTGTATAAAATTGCCGAAATTCAACCATTTTGATCTAGCAAGACAGCAACTTAGGATGGCTCAATGTATCACACAGGGCTCCTGCACAGGCTCTGTAGCTGACTCAGAAGAATGTAACAGCTCACTACTGGTGTACGCTTATTAAAACTAATAAGGAAAATTCCCCTCTAATAGTGCTTATGAAATGTTAAGTAGGGAAAACCTAAGGAAACCGTTATGGTCACTATGACTACATTTTCAAAATAATATTTACGTAGATGAACAAAAAATATGAAAATGTAAACAAAAATAATTTTTGTATTTGAATAGTACCACCATGAGTTACTTTCCCTCGCAACTAAAGGTTGTTCTATTAACTGTATAATTTCTTTTTTTAAGATTTTATTTATTTGCGAGAGAGAGAATGAGAGACAGAGAGCATGAGAGGGAGGAGGGTCAGAGGGAGAAGCAGGCTCCCTGCCGAGCAGGGAGCCCGATGTGGGACTCGATCCCGGGACTCCAGGATCATGACCTGAGCCGAAGGCAGTCGCTTAACCAACTGAGCCACCCAGGCGACCCTAACCGTATAATTTAAAAGGAAGAAGAGGACAAGCGTGAGGAGAGGAAGAGGCAGTGACACACAAGGGAGTGACAGACCTCAGATGTGACTGTCTGTGGTGACAATTTATTACACACTTGCCATCCGTCTAATACATCAACAACCCGAAACGTATCTTAAAATTTATTTCAAGGGATCAAGATAAAAGCCAACTGAATCAATGAGAGACCTCATACTTCTAAAGGTCTTCCCTTTGAGATAACATAGATGTTTGTTAGTAAGGAAGGTCTTGGCATGACCAAAGGCCAACTAAGGTGAACTTACTTTTTGCTTGCCTCACAGACATCTGTAATGTTGGAGAAAAGATGGTGACTCTCTGTTTTGGTCATTGTATCACTCAGTTCTTTAGAATTTTTAAACATTCGTATCAAGATCTCCAAACTGAGCAAATAGGAATGTTCAGAGGATATGACTTCAAAGATAGCCTGGTATGAAGGAAAAAGAAATGTATTATTAATTATGGTAACTGAAGAACTAAATAAAGTTTTCATAATTCTCCTATAAAAACAACGTATCTTAAAAAGCACAGAAAGATAAGCATGAAGAAAAATGCATCACCAAACTACTGTCTTTTTTTTATAAGGCACATACACCCAAACCTCAGGAAGTAGAGTCAGTCACTGCCCACAGTGTAAAAATGAAAAAGTGAAAGCATTTAGATGACTTGAGATTCCATCCTGAGGTCATGCTTTGTTAAGGGGTAGAATCTACGGAAGGAAAGCTTAGGGCATGTCATAAAGTCTCAGTGTGACATTAATTAACCTTTGGGGTCATCTCCTCCAGGCCTGTTTTCAAAGTCGGCTGCTCTGGGACACTAAGGATTTATAGACACCACTTGGGATTCCAAGAAAATTTCTTACAAATACATTTCTTTGCTCTCCTCTTACGCAGGCTCCTTCTCTCCCCATATTTTAATCCAACAAATTTGCAGTCAATTACAGCAAAGAGTCAGGGTATACTAGAAGACCATGACTGTATCTACCCTCAAAAGGTTCTCATCAGCCACAGGAATTCTTTTATATTAAACTCATACAACTGAAAGTAATTCTGTTCATTCCACAAGACACCCTTTCTGCTCCCGTCAGTTTCTCAAGAAGGAGTGAATCAGGACCCTCTGCAGAAATGCTTGGTGTCAAGGCACACAGCCGTTGACCTGATAAGTGTTCATTAATGATAAAAAGCCAACCCACATATGTGGGTAGGCACCATTGCCCTGTGTAAAGAATTCATCTAGCTCCTTAACAAAATCACCTTCAGATCCTCCAAGAATGGCAACACAGGGATTCCTCCTCAGGTCGGGGTGGTAAATATCCTCGCAGGCCTGAGATTCAGATCCTTCCTAGGGATCTCCCTGGTAACACTGCCATCATCACCTTGGCCTCCAGGCACGTCTCCTTAAGCCCTTGGCCCAAAAGGCCCAGAAGATTCTTGCTGTAAGTCCCTGTGCTATGGCTGAAGCTGGTGAGAGCAGGCAGACACAGGCAAGTGGACGTCCAGTTGCTGGTAAGTGGACCATATTTTGTAGGTCAGGTTAATGGGGCTGGTCTCAATGTTCATCTCCCTTTTCAGCATCTATGAGCTTTAAAGGAAGTCTTACTTAAAGGTGCTGGTCTAGCCTCAGTTGTGTTCCAGGGACTTAAGTGATATAACCATCTAATGAGTATGCAGTAAGAACATGAAGAGTCTCACTTGACCTGTATCTTGTATAATTCTATTCAATCGATACAATTATCCCTGGGAAATGTAGTGTAAACTGAAGAAAACTGTCGCTTCCTGACCAAAAATAGTGGATGTCATGTTGTTAATAGATATGGTACCCTGAATGACAAAATATTTTCAAAAGCAAAGGCTTTTGTAATCACATGCAAAATACTAAGATTTAAACAAAAAGATCACATGAACTATACAGAATAGATCACAGGAAAAGATGATTAAGTGGTAGTTTAATATAATAGGTTTAATGTAATAACTGTTAAAACATCCTACAATAGAGCCGTCAACTACTTAAAAGCAAACTGGGTTAAACTTTCTAAAAATAGCTATATAGGAATCGAAAGGAACCATAAAGTTAGATTTGCTGCTGTCATTAGTTTTTTTTATATCACAAATCTGAATATTTTCAAAATATAAAGGAAATAAATAGGTTCAAACAGAAAAGGTTTAAAAGAACACATATGTTCAAATGGGGTTAGGACCCTGGAGTAGCTCTTGAATTTGTCCACAAACATTATTTATGCTGCAATGTTAATAATAAAGAAAAAAAACATAGCACTTACTGTCCAAAATTTGGACAACAGATTTTTTTAAGGTGGTATTTATACAGTGGAATACTATATAGTGGTTTGAATGAATAATCTAGATTAATATACATTAACATGGATAAATCCCAAAAATAGTGCTGAATATCAAAAGTAAACAAAAAATATGTTCAGAATCATCACACTCACATATGCACACAAATATATGTACATAAATATATGTAATACATGATTTAAAAACACAGATTGAGGGGCGCCTGGGTGGCTCAGTCAGTTAAGTGTCTGCCTTCGGCTCAGGTCATGATCCCAGGGTCCTGGGATCAAGTCCCGCATCATGGTCCCTGCTTAGCAGAGAGTCTGCTTCTCCCTCTGCTCCCCTCCCACCACTTGTGCATTCTTTCTCTGCGCACTATCTCTCTCTCTCTCTCGCTCTCAAATAAATAAATAAATAAATAAAATCTTAAGAAAAAAAACACAGATTGGATAGGTACACATCAATTCATAATTATAGCTGACTCTGGGGAGGAGAGGAAGGAAATGGCACCACGGAGAGTGTAGGGATTCTACTTTATTGAAAGTCTTGTTTTCTTTAAAAAATATAAGGAAAAAATTATAAATGTAATACATTTGTTAATTCTCAGTGATGGGTACACCAATGTTATATACTATTCTGGTTTTTTTAAACTTAAAAAAAATGACACTATAATGTCCCCTTGTATTTTTGTGTTAGTTCATGCCAATAAAATAAAAATACAGTGCATATCCTTTGTGCAGTTTATATGCATGTATATACATAAACATAGTAACATGCATATAACAGGAGAAAAGTGTTGAGAACTTCACTATATTATTACAATGAGTAATTTCCTTAAACTGCATTTATTTAAATTTCAAGTTGTAAAATCCTATTACTATCTGTTTTATTTTTTATTAAGTAAACCTTTATTTTGGTATAATTTTAGATTTATAGGAATCTTGCAAAGAGGGTTTGGAGCTCCTGTGTTTCCTTCATCCAGCTTCCCCTAACCAGGGCACACGACATAACCACGGTCCATTACATTTTATCTGCAGACACATGCACGTACTTTACTCAGATTACACCAGTTTTCCCACTAATATCCTGTTTCAATCCAGGATCTAATATCTCTTTCATTTTTCAACATATTTCTTCCAGTTTAAATACCTCGACTAGGTGTTGTTTAAGCTAAAATGACATTAAGGTATTTTAAGTTTTCTTTCCTGGGTTCTTATGTGTAGTTTTATTTGACAATGAACACATACCTCTTATGCAAAAAGAACAAAATGAATACGTTTTCAAAGGAAAACACTGAACACACAGTAGGTGAAAGCACACACTCTCTTCAGAGCTCTAAAGTATCTGCTCAGTAGAAAACATACCTCCTGTCTCTTTCTTTCCTCCTGGCTAACTGTCTGTGATAATCCATTTCTTTTCACCTAGAGGAAAAAGCAAAATAAAATTGAGCTCATTTACTTCAACAATTTATTATGTAAGGCATAACTCCATGCTCTTTGAGAAATGAATTTTAGGAAATTATGCAAAATGTGTGAATTCAGCACATATTAATTTTTGGGTCCCTCATAGAGTATTTACTCACATTATTAAATTAGCATCAACACAAAAGAACTGCAAAGTGTGTGAATTCAGCACATATTAATTTTTGGGTCCCTCATAGAATATTTACTCACATTAATAAATTAGCATCCACACAAAAGAACTGCAAAGTGTCTAGAACACTATCCCATCAGGTTGTGCTAATCTATTCTAGTCTTAGGTGTAGATATTCCTAAAATGCTTATCAAATTAATTTCCCAAATCATAAATGAAGAAATCTAACAATAAAGAAAGTGAAGCCACCCATCTGAGAGTTTACTGCCCAGGATCCCACACTGAAAAAATAACTTTAATACTATTTTTCACCAACATTCCATGGAATACCCATGCTCTTCATAGAAACCCAATCAAGAAACAAAGAAAACAAAGTCTCCCCTGCCCCAATTTCAGCATTATTTTCAGCACATTGAAATTTGACAAAGAAGGGAATGCCTGGGTGGCTCAGTCCATTGAGCACTGGAAGGACCCTTGATTTCTGCTCAGGTCACGATCTCAGGGTCCTGAGATAGAGCCCTGCACCAGACTCTGTGCTCAGCCAGGAGTCTACTTGAGATTCTCCCTCTCCCTTTCCCTCTGCCTCCCACCCTGGCTCACATGCTCTCTCTCGCTCTCTAAAAATTAATTAATTAATTAATTAATTAATTAATTAATTAGACAAAGAAGGCTATTAACCTGATATTCTTTGGAGAAGCAACAGTACCCACAAGAACCAAAGCACCAGTACTGTACTTGGAGTAATGCAGCTGCATTGTTAGCTAAATCACTGCGATCTCTACCTAAATTACCATGTACTTTTTATTTGATTACTGCAGTTTCTACCATGATTCAGCTTCTTTTTTTTTCTTAAGATTTTATTTATTTATTTGACAGAGAGAGAGAGACAGCGAGAGAGGGGACACAAGCAGGGGGAGTGGGAGAGGGAGAAGCAGGCTCCCCGCGGAGCAGGGAGCCCGATGCGGGGCTCGATCCCAGGACCCTGGGATGAGGACCTGAGCCAAGGCAGACGTCCAATCAACTGAGCCACCCAGGCGTCCCACAGGATTCAGCTTCTAACCCAGCTGAACCATGAACTCCGTGAACTCAGGGCCCCGTGGTGGCTTCTGGTATACCTGGCACTGAGTCTGGCACGTGAAAGATACTCATGTTTTTCAGCTAATTAAATTAGCAAAAGGTAAGGCATACATAAAATATTGACCAATTAAATTCTGTGCTTAACAGAAAGAACAGCAAGAAAGGAGAGTGTTCTCCCTTTTTGTGAGAAACTAACAGCAATAAAATATAACACAGGTCTTCAAACATTTATAAAAAGCACAACGATTTGATATCCACCATCCTCCATTTAAAAATAAATATGCTTCCCATAACAGCTGGAGATTATTCTTCTTTATCCTTAAAAATCACATTTCTATGTCAATTTTCCCCCAAAATTTCCTAACGTAATTCTGTGTGGTAGGGTATCTTATTAATCACCCTAGCACCCAAATCACCTAATGCAAAAATACATTTTTCAATTTAAGTTTCTAAAATTTCCTGTGACCATTGAGCTTTAAGTATAAAAGAGACTCTTCTGGATTATATAATCACCACAAATATCATTAATAACCTACGATCAAAATAACACAATAACTGCCAATTTTAATGCATTAGGCCCTAAAAGTAAATTTTACTGAGAATGCAATTCTTAGTAAGGTGGGAGGGTGGGGGGGGTTATAGTGGCTTCATTAAAAGAGGCTTCACTGAAACCAATATTTTAAATTGACCCTCCGTATCTTGTACCCCAGTGGAATGACACCTTGGAACAAGGCACCACACTAAGATTTGAGATGGGTAAGGGGAACACCTTTCTTTAGTAAAATTGCAAAAAGGGCAACTGTGAGAGAGAAGATTGGAAAAAACCCTGGGGTAACACTTAGCACACGTAGTCTCAATTTTAGAAAGGGGAGGATACCTGGAACATAAAGATCTAAAAAAATGGATCCTTAAAAGATCTAAAAAAAATGGATCCCTGTCCACTTTGCATGGTCTTCATGAATCCCCGGTGGTGTAAACCTTAGTGTGAAAACTGTGGGTGCACAGTGCCCTACATTGTGCTGTCACGGAAATGAAAACACATGTTATGGTCTCTAACCTGACTTTTGGAAAAGGACAGAAAGCAGTAGAGTAGTGTAGAAAGAGTCCTAAATCAGTGGTAAAATCAGCGATCACTTACGGAACATTCACTGTGTGCCTGGATGTGTCATAAGCATTTTATACCCCCTTTCCCATTGAATCCTCCTAAAAACTCAAGAAAGTCGATAATACTATCCTTATCTCCAATTCAGGTGGGGATAACAAGTGAGGCTTAACATCTAAGAGCACACAGCTAACAGGTAGCGAGGGCATAATCTGCATCCATGCCTGTCTAACTCCAGAGCTCATACTCTCTCTCTCTTTTTAAAGATTTATTTATTTATTTTAGAGAGAGAGAGCGGAGGCAGGGACAGAGGGAGAGGGAGAGAGAGTCCTAAGCAGACTCCACACTGAGCGCAGAACCCCATGCAGGGCCCAATCCCATGACCCCGAGACTATGACCTGAGCTGAAACCAGGAGTCGGACCCCCAACCAGCTGCACCACTCAGGCGCCCCAGGTGACTGAGGGACCCCTGCTTTCTGTGAGAGGCAGTCCATTTCTAGGGTTGGGCAATCATCACTAAACTCCTTCTAATGCCAGGCCCGTATCAAGTCTCCATATGTTCTTTTTCATCCACCCATATTGTGGAATGTTCTTAGCCTTACCCACCATCCTGACCCGGGGTCAGCCTGTCAGCAAGAATTCATGGCTAAAAGGGCTTCTTCATCCATTTTAATAAGGGGGGAGACCGGCCAGAAGAATGAAACTGTTCAGCACTACTCCCGTATGGTTAACCCTGAGCAGGAATTTCACAGGATTTCCTTCCTGACACATAGTCCTGGCAGATCGATATCCAGGCGCCATGCCCACAATCTCCACAGGTGAGATCACCAGCAAGAATTTCCACGCACTGGCCTTGTCATCCAGAATTACTAGTAAGTTCAGACCCAGAAATCTTCAGGGAAAGAGAATGAACCATTTGGACTTAGAGACCTACACATGTGACAGCTAGTTTACTGAGGGATTAAGATTACTTTATCCCATTAAGAAGGAAAAAAAAAAAATCCCCAGACAAAACAGTTTCTCTTTTGAGGGGGGAAAAAAATGTAGTTTTGAAAAAGGCAAAGTGCTAGCTCCCAGAATTATCATATTTCATTAATACTAGTACAAACAATGATAAAATACTCCTTTAACCAAAAAGTCATCAGTAAGAAACCAGCAACCCATACAAAACTACTGAGACAGAAAAGAAAAAGATTCCAGGGAACATTCTTGGGTCATAACTAAGAAACCTGAAGTGCAGCACACTGGAGGAGGCTGCAAGTTTGCTGCGGAGAGTTATGACAGATCAGCCCCTCCTGGCTGACTGCCAGGCCACGGCTCCAGGGCCTGTCCTTCTCTCTTGGCCCTTCTGTCCCCTGTACAGGGCAGGCTGGACAGCTTCTCCCTCCTGAGTCAAGAGGAATCATTATGTCCCCCTGAGACTTCTTTCCACATTCAGCTCGAAATTAAGTAGTACCTGAGAGCAGGTGCCTGGATGGAGAAGGTCATGAACAGGCCAGATGCTTTCAGAGACTGAGCAGTTTGGAGGAATGAAACCAGAGAAAGAGAGGGCGAGAAGGATATCAAAGGAGGCCCCCATGGAGACTGGTGACAAGGCAGAGAACAGACTATTAGGGTAGAATGAACACACTGGAGCAAAATATCAAGCAGAAAGAAACGAGGAAGGAAAGGAGGGATGGAGGATGGGAAAGGAAGGAAAAAAGGAGAATGTGCGCCAAGTTTTAAATAGCAAATACCTCTAAGGGCACCTGGGTGGCTTAGTTGGTTAAGCATCCGGCTCTTGATTTCGGCTCAGGTTGTGATCTCAGGGTCGTGAGATCCAGCTCCATGTTGGGCTACATGCTGAACTTGAAGCCTGCTTAAGATTCTCTCTCTGCCCCTCCTTCTCTCCCCCCGCCCACCCTCATCCCTGCTTGCAGGCTCACTCTCTCTCTCAAAAAAAATAAATAAATAAAGTAAATACCTCTAGAAATTTTCTAATTCAAAAACAGCAAACCTTATCAGTAAACTTAACTCATTGGAAGAATCAGGCTTCCCCCCCCGCCAAGAAAAAAAATGTGTGAAAAGCATATGTTTACACCTACAGTTTTAAAATTGACCTGCTTTTTGCAGTTTGCACATTTTTGCTAAGAGAATCTGAAAGATTATCAAGTTTATCATGCTTCTTCAAGTGTTCCTCTTGTTTCTATGTGTGAAAAAGAAAAAAAAATAGTACAGCAGCTTCTAACACCTGATTCCTATTGCTACCCTAAATGAAAAAAATTAAAATTGTGTAGGCTCCTTCTGTATTTTGATAACCTCTATTTCATATTGGAAGTTCTGGCTGAGTACAACTGGGAACAGACAGCCAAAGCAGCATGCCTCTAACGTTCTCTTCTGACTTCACTTGAGCTTTCTTATTCCTCACTGATTTAAATTTTTTATTTAACTATGTCATCAGTAAATAGAACTGCAAAAGAAGTTTAATGAAACACTAAGAGCTGGATTATATTTGGGGTTCTTGATTTTGTATAATCTAACCAGTTCACAAAAGTGTTCAAATCCTACCATGGCAGATTCTAGCCTCTAAGGAGAAAGTACGATGCATGTCATTATCTTCAACATTTTAAGTGGATAAAAATTAATTCAAATAAAACAACAAAACTGAGC